AACTATTATAAAGAAAAGAATTAAATATATTATAATATAAATAATAATAATAATTATTATAAGTTTATTTAATTTAAATTTAATTAAAAAAATTAAAAAATAGTTTATTTTACTATAACTTTATTTAATTTAAAATTATTTGTTAAGTATTGAATTTATTTCCAATCATCAGGGAATGAAATACCACCAGACACAGGTTTAATAGTATATGACCTATTTAATCGCTTCTGTAAGTTCTTTCTTCTTGGAGAAGGTTCAGCCATAATAACGCCAGAGTCAGTATCCATTCCTTGGGACAATTGTAAAGAAAGTGATTGAGGTTTTCCTCTACAAACTGCTTGAATATTATGTTTATAAGGGTCACAAGATTTATGGATGACTAATTTACATCTAATACATTGGAAGCTATCTTTTTGTTTTACTGCTTTCTTACAGAAAACACATTTTGGAGCTTCTTCTACACTTGGAATAAAAGCATGAGATTTATATGTAGTTTGAAGGAAATGTATTTGTAAGTCATCAGTACTTGCCCAGAATTGGAATATTGCAGAAGGAGGATTACCAACTTGTACTAATAACCCAGTAATTAGACTAACATCTTTATTAGTAGATAAATCGAATGTTTGAGTAATTTCATAAGAGGTAGAATCAATAACATTTAATTGATTTGTATTTAGTCCAACCCAAACACTATTACCACATTCAATAATAAATACAACATCATCAAAATCAAATGATTTTAATATTTGTAATTTATCATTATAAACATTTAATTTCTTTAAATCTGGATAAAATGCCCATAAAGTATTATCTATTACTGAAATATGACTTGTTTTTAATTGAATTTGCTCTTCTTTTTTTAATGCTGATTTACTTTTTAAATCAAATTTACTTATTCCAGAATTTGTACATACCATTAATATATCATCTTTTACTAATAATTGTTTTCCAGCAACAGGAATTCCTTTATATTTAAGTATTTTAGTTGTAATTTTATCTTCTTTAATTGTATATCTAACAAATTCACTAGATATTAATAATAAATAAACACTATCTTTATAACTAAAGAAATCTACAACTCCTGGATGTAATGAATCTTCAAATACCATTGGTTTAAAAGTATCTGCATTAAATATTAATATTTTACCATTTTTCAATGACACATAAAGATATTCATTAAAAATTTTCATTTTAATTATTTCTTGATTATATGTATTTGTTGAAAGTATTTTTGTTGGTTCTTTTGCATCTATACATCTTAACCATCCAATACATGAGTCATTAAAACAACTCATTGCAATATATATCTTATCTTTATATTGAACCATTCCATTTACTTCTCCTGGCATTTTTAATACATCACCTTTACTTTTTTCTACTTTTTCATGAAGTTCTATTTGTCCAACTAATTCATCAAATGCAATTGGTGTCATTGTACCTCTTTTACTTTGTGCTTTTGATCTTGAAGTAGATAAACTTGATATTTTATCTTCTGATGGATTTACAGATGTTTTATTAAGTTCTTGTGTTGGAGTAGAAGCACCAGAGTTATCTTTACTTGATTTAAAGAATGCAACTAATGTTTCTGACCTTTTTGGTTTAACTTTATTAGGTAAAGAAGCACGACTTCCACCTTTATCTAAGAAAGCTAATGTAGGAGTTTTAGTTTTTAAATTTTCATGTAATTGAACACGAGAAGAGACAGATGAACGACGGTCTGACTCATTTAATTTAATAATTTTTTCTGATTTATCAGGAATAGTTTTAGAATTAGTAAATGGTTCTGTAACAAAATTTATATTACTTTGTAATTTATTTTCTCCATAGACTTTTTTAACATTTGGATCTAATGAATATTTTTTAGTAAAATTACAAATTGATTCAAGTAAATCAAAATATTCTAATACTTTATCATTCTTCTTTTTTAAATAATCTCCATATAACTTTGATTGTGCATAATGCATTATAAATGTTAATAATGGAATCTTTTCATTTCCTTCTAAAACACTTTTATTATTTGATGACCATTTTCTATATGAATTTTGTAATACTCTAACACAATCATCTTCTATTTTCATAAACATTCTTGGGAAATATACTTCTTCTTTAACGTATCTATTTAAATCTTGAATACTTACTCTTGATACTTCTCTAAAATGTCCTTCACCACTAATTCTATTAACAATTGCTAATGCATCAACCATCATATTTTCTTGATAATTTCCATTATTAATCATTTTATTTTGTTTATTCATATTCTCTAATACTACTATTTTCTCTTTTAATTTATCACTTTCATTTTTCACTTCATCATAATTTTTTGTCACTTCTTTTAATTTATTTTCTATTTCTCCTTTTTCTTTTAACATTTTTTCTCTTTCTAATGTAAGATTTTGTGTACTTTCCATTACTTTCTTTTCTAATATATTCTTTTGTAATACTAAGTCTTCTCTGTCTGTATCTCTATTTTGTACTGCATCAACTTTTTCTATTTTCATTCCTTCCATAGTAACTCTTAATAATACTTCTAATTCTCTTTTTCCTGTTAAACTTAATTGTTCATCATTCATATTTTGTTTAATGGTTTGTAATTCTTTTATCGTTTGAATATGATTTTTTGTTTCCTCATCAATTCGTGTCATTAAATCTTCTTTTTCATTTTTTAAATTCTTTAATTCTCCAATTAATTGTTTTATTGTTCCAACACATTCTTGTATTTTATTTTTTAATGACTCATTACTATCTCTTTCATCTTCTAAATCACTTTCTAGTCTACATATTCTAGCTTTATCTCTTTGTCTATCTTCTTCAACAGCATCTTTATAACTTTGTAATTGATTTTTCATTGTTTCAATCATTTTTCTATAATCAATATCATCCCCTATTTCTTGTTAACTTCTCTTTTTTTCTTTTTTTAAATTCAAAATTTTTATTAAATTTTTGAATTTTCTGAAATTATAAAACCTTCAAACCTTCAGAATCTTCTTCACTGTCATAGCTTGACTCACTATATTCTCCTGTAGTTGATTTTGATTCAGAACTACTCAAACTTTCTGTATTTTGGTCTTTATCATCTTCTTCATCGCTAAATGAATCTCCAAGAAAGTGTTCTTCCTGTGGTGACCCTTTCTATTCTATTATTTTTCCTTCTTTCTTATGGAAAAAAATTGAAAATCCAGTTTCAACGGAGTGTGGAGCAAACAAACTTCTGTCATGAAATGAACTGATAACTAAAATAAAAATAAGATATTAATTTCCTGCTATCTTTTTTCTTTTTTTTCTTTTGGCTCTTAAAATTATTATTTTAATTTCTCTTTCTTTTTATTTTTCTTTATTAATAAATATTATTTTGTTTTATATACCATATTATTTTCTTAGTGTAAATAAGTTATTTATTGTTTATTGAAGTTTCTTGTTTCTTTTTTTTATCTGACAACATTACAGATCATACAAAACAAGTCTTTAATAAAAGAGTATTTGTAGAATATTAAAAATAACATAACTCAAAATTATCATGGAGGATAAAACCATATTATACAAAAAATACAATAACTTAAAATTTTAAATATATGAAATGATCCTAAATATTGTTTTAAGAAAAAAAGAGAATAATTTCTTAATTAACAGAAGTTCATGATTATTTTACAGTTAATTTATCTTTAACAATTTATTATATTTATAGTACATTGATATTTGTTTGATTCTCAATTTGTTTTTATATATATTTTTATTATTACTTCTGACATTAGTATTTATATAACTTAGTACTATGTAATATTTCTTAATGGTATTTTATATACTCATTTCAATAAATGAATTATGTTTATATCTTCTTAATATTATTCTTTTATTATTTCTCATTCAAACGTGTTATGCTCTTTTGAATAAGACACTACCTTCTATGTATTTTTGATGGTAGTTTTGTCATTGTCTTTTTAATTTATGTTCATATTGTATAAATAATTTATCCTCTTTTTTTAAATAATCTTTTCTTAATGATTTTATCTTCTCTTTTCTTTTATTTCTTATTTGTTTATTTTCGCTTTTAGTTTATTTTGATATTTTTATATTCTATTTATACTCAATGGCATTTCTTTTTATAGTTATAATTTCTATCATGTCTTTAAAATTACTGTTAAAATTTTTGTGGTGATAAGTGGAATGAATTAATGACTTATACAATTCAAAAATATTGTCTTACGTATTATGATGATGTTTAGATCATCAATTGTTATGGTAAGACTATTTTATTAATTTCAACAAAAACAATACCTATTCTAATTTATTTGTCTATCTGTTATATTCATTAATTGATAAGATTTATTATCTTTGTTATTATTTATATTTTTTGTATTAATTTACTTTTTTTTATATTTTTAAAATAGTATTAAAACAGATTAATTATTTTTGATGTTTTTTATTGAAATGTTTATTTCTTTTATCCCCATTTTATTAGATGTAATTATTTTATTCAGAACAATGTAATAGTATCTTTATTTTGGGGTATTTTTTTTCTGAAATTGAGAAAATTTTTATTTTTAAGAAAATTGTTTGCAAGAATTGTTTAATAATATTTGTATTTGGATGAATGATATTTTATTTCACTAGCCATAATTGAATAATAATTGGATTTAATAAAAAATATTTGTATTTAATCAATAATTAAAATAAATAAAGACTTTTCATTAGTTACTTATAAATGTTAAAACAAAAATAGTTTTTGAAGGAAGTATTATTGAAGTATTATTATGACATAATATGAATAACTAAAAAATATAAGAATATAGATTAACAAATAACATATTTCATAGTTATAATGACAAAACTATTAACATCAACTATAATTTACTTTCATTTATTGGAATTGATAATTCTTAATAGATAGAAGCTTAACTATGATTCGTACTTTAATGCATTAGTTTATCAAATGTTTTAATATCATTTAATTTCTGGTAGTATTTTATTTTCATACCTTCCTTTTGTTGTTGAAACTCTATATTCTTTTACTATTTCAATTCTTCTTTCTCTTTTAGTTATGTTTAATACTCT